GACAAAAAAGAAGGAGGCTCATTATCTCCACTATCATTGAACATTTTTCTGGAAATGTTAGCCAATGCTAATACTTATAAAGAGATATATGTATTTCAGGAAAAGAGATGGTAAAAATGATAGTGTCTGGCAGATGATATACTTGTATACCTGGAAAAGTCGAGTATACCTGAAAAAGTCAAGAGAATAAATGGAGAAACCAAACCCTCTGCTATATTGTCTCTAATCATTTTAGTTCACTTTATTTTTAAAGAGCTATGTGCCCTCAGTCACTCAAAGGAGGGATTGGGGTTCTATGAGAGGCTCAAATAGAAATCAATATGGTTAGAACTCCAAAGAAGTTAGGAATCATTCTATACATCCTTTTAATAAATTTTATTTATTTGTTGCTGTTGAGAATATACACAGCAGAACATACACCAACTCAACAGTTTCTCCATATACAATTCAGTGACATTGAGTACATTCTTTGAGTTGTGCAACCATTCTCACCCTCCTTTTCCAAATTGTTCCTCCTCCATTAACATCAACTCACTGCCCCCTAAGGTTCCTATCTAATCTTTCGAGTTGCTGTTGCCAGTGTGATTCCATATTGGTAGTTCTTAAAAGAGCACAGTGCTCAAGACAGACATTTTTTACTAGTTAAGCTAAACTACTGTTTGGCTTTAAGAAGACTTCAGGGGTTATTTTTGGTTGAAGGTTTAAAGATTATCTCAGGGCAATAATTTCAGGGGTTCATTCACCCTCCATGGCTCCATAAAGTCTGGAGTCCATGAAAATATAAAATTCCGTTTTATATTTTCTCCCTTTTGATCAGGATTCCTTTAGAGAATCCTTGATCAAAATGTTCAGTAGTGGGCCGGGCACCATCCATTTCTTCTAGTCTTATGGCAAAGGTGGCAGTTGTTCATGGAGGCAACATTATATTACATCTTGATTTATGTTCTCATGGTTTTCAGGATCTGAAAATTCTTGCTTTTTGGACTGACTAGTAATCTCATCAGTCAGGCACAAAGGATAGACAGTAAAGTCTTACTCTTACCCTTAACCCCCAGTCTCCTCCCTAGAAGCAACCACTGTTTCCTGTTTCTTGTGATTCTTCAAGAGATAGTCTGTACTTATGTGTGTGTGTGCGTGCACATGTGTGTTCAAGCACACAGAAACTTCTTGAATTTATTTTTTTTTCAGGCAAAAGAAAATGAAGGCATCCAAAAGTCCCAAAACTAAGAAGAGAGTGAGGGTGCTGATTGACAATGAGATACTATTAACTAGAGACGATGATATCAAGGTGACTGAAGACAAGAGCAAGGTGACTGAAGACAAGAGCAAGGCGACTGAAGACAAGAGCAAGGCGATTGAAGACAAGAGCAAGGTGACTGAAGACAAGAGCAAGGTGACTGAAGACACAAGCAAAGTGACTGAAGACAAGAGCAAGGTGACTGAAGACAAGAGCAAAGTGACTGAAGACAAGAGCAAGGTGACTGAAGACAAGAGCAAAGTGAC